ACTACAACCAAAACTCGAAAATAAATAAAAGTGGGCACTGGCGTTACGCCCACAAGTTGAGCAAGTCGCTCGATCACATTAAAAACGCGCTGAAATATTTGCGTTTTCTTTAGTTTTATGCCCGTTATATTTTTGGGGGCGTTGTGGTGTTGCAACGCCAATCTGATAAGAATAAACGTTTAATTAGACCACTAAATGCATTTTTTAGTAGTCATAATACAAAATCAAAATAAAAAAAAATGAGAAAACATTTTTATTGCCTTTTTCACATATTAATTTATCATTGTGCAGTATTTATTGTCTTAATTTTTTGCATACAGTTTATTAATGCGCGTCGCTGACAAAATATAAAAAAAAAATAATAAAAAACAAAACAAAAGACTTAGACAACAAACTTGTTTCTTTGTTCGATTTTGATTTGATTGCTACTCTATGTATTTTTATGAAAGAAAAGCTTTTACTTAATTTGATTGCATTGAAAGAGTCTCAGCTTGCATTTGTCTAGATTTTGCTTTGTTTCATGATTGATAAATATTGTTTAGAGATTTAATTGTCAAAATTAATTAGATTGTGTAAGCGTAAAGCGTAAAGCTTATTTGTGTTTCATTTATTGCGATACGATTTAGGAAATTGAAATTAACTAAGACATTTAAGTTGTCCAAATACATAACATATACATTTAACTTTTGTTAAAGTTTCTTATAGTTGCGATTTGTACACTTACCATTCAATTTTCCCATTATATTTTAGTATAGGAAATCGGCTTTTTGACTAGTTATTCATTTAACTACGGCAGGCACAACCACTTTGCTCTTTAGCCGTTTTGGCTTCAAGCTATTTATAAACTGTATTTATTGGTTCGTCATTTGATAGTTTCTCATGTATTGTTGTTAGTGTTATGCTAAAACCTTAAGCAGACTATCGTTTGATATTTTTCAGCCAGTTACCAAACAAAAAATATATATATATATAAATATATATACACAGCAAACAATAACAACAGAAGAAGAAGCAAAATCAAACAAATAAAGCCCCCTCTTTATACATTTTAATGGCTGTCTTCTTTTTTTATTGTTATTATAATCGGCAGGCAGGTCGAACGTCACGTAATCACCGTCACTGGTTACACCTGTTTCTTCGCGCTCAACCCTGTTACATCGTGTAATGATATGCCACCAGCGCCCAAAAAATACAAAATAAAAAACATCCCGCATAGTTCAATGATGTTTCCTATGCCAAAAAGTTCATCAAACGCCAAGGCATGCAACTACAGCTGGCTGAGCAACAACAGCAATTGCAATTGCAACTTTAGCTGTTGTCCAACTACTTATAATTTGCAAGTCTTTTGATGTTTGGCTGGCCGACTGAAAAGTTATAGACGTACAAGCCGTGCCAAGCAACTAATAACTGTTGATTTGTTTTCCTAAGAGTGAAAACTCACAGCAACAGCAGCTGTTATCCTGACTATGCAGTGAAATCTTAAAATTATCAGCAATTAAAAACTCACTTCAGTGAAAGTTTTTCGCACATGGATAATGCGTAGGAAATTTCGCAATAAATTTGTGCAAAAAAGTATCTAAAATGCACACGATTTATATATATGTGTGTGTGTATATATCTACATATATATATATATATATATATATATATATATATATATGCTAATTTTTATGCGATACGCCTGAACAAAAATAAAAATAAATAAAAAAAAACATTCAGCCATGCGACAAATTGCCATCAATTCGTGCGTTTGTTGACTCTTCAGCTTCATTTGCATACGCGAGCTGCTCTTTGAGCCAGTTTTTTACGGATTACCACAAAGCAACGATGACGCTACAAAAAAAAAAAAATGTAAAAAAAAACTTACAAACACAAAAAACAAGCCTTGATTTTGATCGAAAGTGAAATCTTAATGCTGACCAAAAGAAAGCGTTTCAGTTGCCTCATTAAGTTGTAGGAGTTTCGATTGGTTTTCTCAATTTGTACATTTAGTGAATGGCATTGATAAACTCGATGATAATATTCTAATTATGCGCATGCGATAATAATGATGTTCGTTATTTATAGGCAAGTTGTTAGGATTAGCAGCTAAGCAGTTGGTCGACTTTTAACCTGTCCGCGCTCGCATGCAAATCTCGTTTTGCACACACTCAGCTGTGGGCGAAGTGCTGTCATCGCATTTAATAGGATAATACTAAATAAAGTTGTTGTCTCATTTCTAATGAATGACATTAAAAGCTTACACGCATTGGCTCAAAAGCTGCAACACATGTAGGCCCGGTATTAAAAGTTTTCTATGGTCACAATGCACTTCATTAAGACAGCGAAACAGATGGGTCAATTTATTAGAGAAATCTGGCAACTAAATATGGATGAAACTTAGCGTTTGTTAGTGTTCAACTGTTAATTAACTCAACTGGTCAAGTAGTGGGTGCCATATAATTAATCAAGCAACTATTTATAGCTTTAATAAATGATATTTTCTTATATATGGGGTTAGTTACCGAATACAATAATACAGTCAATATTTAACAATGATCAAATTTCAGTCCTTTTTTAAAAAATTGAATTTTTATGATGGATTTCAAAATCTGTTGATAATGAATAACAAAAATCCATATTTAAAACTATAATATGGATGTGTTTGCATTAATTAACAAGTAATTAATGTAATAAGTAATTTTAAGATGACTAATTTATTAAACAAAGAAATTACACTTCAATCAAATATTTAACAAATTACGTTTAAGACACAACTATTTTATTAAAATAAGTAAGCTTTAATTAAAGCTCTATCTATTTTTAAAGAAAAATATAATATATATAAATCAGAATTTCTTAAACGTCTGCAGTAAAGCAGAGTTGCCTTGGTGTGTTTAGTGAGCTCCTCAGCATTAAATGTTATCAATTTATTATAAAATGCAACTCCAAATGCTGACAGTTTGTTGATTATTTCTTTGGTTGTGCCCATGAAATTCTATGGGGGTATCCGTTTACATTTCAGTCGTTATCCCATGGGTAATTAATATCTTATGGGAAGTTAATTAAATCTTGTTGCCTGCCTATAATCTTGCCATAATTTTTATGTAAGAATTGATGTCTGCAGTTTGAAAACGTGTTTGCAACACACACACACACGCAAGTGCTAGCAAGAAACCAAAAAAGTGTTGCACACACATTTATACTTGCAACTGACGGACGACATCAGCAACAGCTCATACAACACAACTACAAGAGCAGAAAAAATCACTGCAACTGCAACTACAACTTGAATGTCATAATTATTTAAAGTCATTCAACTTTAAGAAGCCAAATCTCGACCACATATCAAAAAAGCTAGTCAGCTTTATGTGTGGAACAGGTAACAAAATTAAATTCAAAAGATTACAACAAATATAAATTATAACCGCAACGATAAGGAAATTATGTATTAAACACATCACCAATTCGACGGGCAACATGATCGTAAAAAAAATAAAGTCGAATCAACGACGGAAAAAATTACCATTTAATGTTGGAAAAAAGTTAACAAGTTGCCGGTGACAGCAAAAACTGCAAAATCTGCCACACCAGCCGATTTTTGTGGTTGTTTAACTGAATTAAATATTGCGCAATCTGATGCTGTGTGTGTTTGAGTGTGTGTGAGCTGAAACTCGCCCGTGTTCATTGGCCATATAAATGGTAACAACTGTGGCGATCATCGAGACGCTTGTTGTTGTTGTTGTTGTCCAATTGGCTTCCACAAATGGCTTAAATGTGCTCATGACCGCAAGTAATAAAATAATTTCAAAGAGAAAAAATTGCAGCATAATTCACACCTACAGTTGAGCAGGTTTCATGGCTAAAATGAAAGAGGTAACACTTTCAACTTGTTCCTTGTGGGTTAAGGGCCCGAGAAGAGCAGAAAAGAGAAGGGCTGCGATTTTCTAAATAATAATAAACTTTTATTTGTTAGCCACAATATCATAATATGTAAGGTTACTCAAACCAGAATTGCATTGAATATTATAATTAGGAATTTCAACGAGAGTTAAGTTGATCCTCGAATAAGCCAATTAGGAAAACTATAGAGAATGTCTCTGTGAGAAAATCTGTGATGCTACAAAAATATCCCTTTAAACAATATATCTTGAGCAGTAATAATTATCAGCAGTATGCAATACTTTGTCTTGCTTATTCGCTACAGTTTCTAACTTCCTTTTGCTCATTTATCATAGTATCTTGTTAGCTATTTATGATTAAGATTTCCAAAGTTATGGTTGTGGTTCCTATAGCGATTGGGGTTTGAGCAAACTAAAAAAGAGCAGCAGCTTGCAAAACTGTTTGACATAGCAATCAAAATTATGGTATCCTATAATTTACGACTGGCATTTGCCCTATGCCCGTATGAGAAATGTTGTGGTCACTCGCCCAGCGAAAAAACAAATCGAACTAGTAACAAATTGTAATTGTAGTTCATGTACCAACAACAACTCAGCAACAACAATGACAACAACAACAGCCAAAGCAGCAACACCCAACACTCAGCGTTGTCAATTTAAGGATTGGTCAAACGTGGCGTATACACAATTTGTTCCGGCAATGGCAAAATGGTAACTGCAACTGACCAAGATTAGTGAACAATTATGGTTTTGAAATTGCTACAAGTTAATTCCACTTGTAATTGCTGCCAACTCTGCTGACTGCCTAATATAATTTATGTGATTGCTTTTTTTTAAGGGTGTTTACAAGAGCTACAAAAATAATATACATAAAACGGAAAACAGAACAACAAAAAAAAAGATTAAAAAGTGCAATTGAAAATTACAGCATTCATTGGCAATTGGTAATTTTCGACTGCAAATTAAATTGGCTGTCAGATTTGCGATTGAATTGATTTGGATTTGATTCGAATTAAATTGTAAATTGACACCTTTTCTGGGTTCCGTAGTTGGCTTTTTAATTTCAGGTTCTGCTTTAGTTGAGCATACACTCTGTATAGTTTTCTATTTTATACTCACTTGTCAATGTAATCGATCGTTTCGATTTCCTTTTGTATTTTTTCCTCACTTGGGCTGTTCTCGAGATTGGCGGCATCTGTAAGATGTAGGGTAAATACTTGATATGAGAAATATGATTTATTGAATCTGAAGACGTTAACAAACATTACAGGGTATACATATACAGAGGCGAGCTAAACGCTGATTGTTGAACTAAGAAACATATGAGTAAGTTCTTGATTCGAAACACATTAACTCACTCACAATAACATTGCTCAAGTGAATGGGGCGTTGTAGTACATTTAGTCATTAGCATATTACAATTTATAAATGTTATTACTTATCTATGGTTCTTGGTGACCAAAACATGATAAAAGCGTTATAGTTACACGAATGCTTTTCAGAATTGTAAACACACATGCCACTTAGCCAAGACTTACATAAATTAGACGTATCTTTGCTTATAAATCATAATTAGTAGAACAGCTAAACACACACACACTTGTCAATTGGAATTGCAAATGAAATACAAACATTGAAACTTACGCACCCATTGGACGACAATAACAAAAATTGTCTGGGGCCACAGTAATATTTAACCTTACAAACAGGTATGCATATATATAAATCGTTATATCTGACTTGATTTATGACACAAGAGTCAATCGGGCAACCAACGCAATTGTTCCTACTCTTACACATATTGACACACAGACATAAGTGTATCAATCCGTGTCTCTTTAAATGGATCAGTCAATATGCCGATAAATGTCAATCAGCGCCGATACGAACGAGAACAAGGGCCAAAAGAGACACTTGAATACATGTGAGCCGCTCAAAATGATTGAAATCATTTAATAGAAACCAACTAAGAAGACAATGCTGAAATACACTAATAGAAAAACTTACTACGTGTTTATTTGCTAGTTATTTAAGAAAAAAATACAAGTAAAATCAAATTAAATGTACAAAAAATTTAATTTTTAATAATCATTTCTGTTGTGAATTACTATGAACTATTACTATGTGAGCTATGTGAATATGTATTACAAGTATGTGCATATTTAAAAAAGGAATGCATTTTTTATGACTATTACAGTTATGCAATAACAGCTTTAACGATTTATTTACATTCTTTCAAATTTACTTCGGCATAAAACATTTTTAGACAGTTTTGCTCATAAAAATAACTGACAGGCATTTATTTTTCAAATGTTTATTTTTTTTTTACATTTGAATATACGTAATTTTTTTAATGTTTATTTTTCAGATAAAAAACAAAATATATTAAGATTTCAAAAAAAAATCGACAATATATATAATGCACCGAACAAGTTAAATATCGTGTGGTTTTATATTTTTAATGAAAACGCTTGCGCAGATACTTAATACTTGTACCTTTTCGGATTTTATATAATTTTTACTTATTTTTAAGTACTTGTAATAATGTATTTAATGATTGTTATTGACCTAGAAAAAGTTCTGTATAAACTAAATTTGATGCCATTAATAGAACATAAGATTCACGATATCAAACAAACATTTAGTTTACAATTGTAAATACATTTTTGCAACACTTTACGTTCAGGAATTGAATATTTTGCTAGAGAATCATAACCAAAGCAATGAGATAGCACTAATGCCTAGCCTAGGTGAGCATGAATGTAGAGCAGTTAGTAAAATACATATGGATTACAGCGACAACAAAAGCAACAATTGAAACGAAAATAGCAGACACATTAAGAACTTGCCACACAGACACACTGGCAACAAAGTGGTACAAGCAAATAATAGTTGTGTGTGTGTGTGTGTTTGATTATATATTGACTGGGGTATACGGGTCTACTATAGCTGCGGCAAACACTTCAAGTTCAATTGAAAAGCGGCTGTCTGGCCAAAGATCAAATGAGCAACGGAGAGCAGGAGACGAAGCGACCAACCGCATGGCCAGAAATGCGGACAGACAATTGTTATACATACAAATATATATATATATATATATATGTGTGTCAGTGTGTGTGTGTACTGTCTGATGAGTGACGGGGCTGGGCTCAGCTGTTGGTAGCTTTGTTGCTATCTTGGTAGTTGGTATAGTTTTGGACGGGTTTTATTTTTTATCTTTTACGGGTAAGTGACTGTCAGGGGCCTCGATGTGTCTCGGTCGTGTCTCGGCTCACTTTGCGATTTTATGCATGCAAATTAGTTTTTGAACCTGTTGCAATTTTGTTGTTGTTGCTGTTGGTGCTGCTGCCAGTGTTAACGGCGCCCTGAAGTGGCAGCCACAAAATGGGCACGGACTACGCTTTCCAATTGGTGTTTGTGCCCAGTTCCCATGCTGCATGCTAATTGAGTTTTGAAGTGTAGCGTAGAAATCACTAAACCTAAAATAAACTCATGGAAAATACTGCTCCAATTATTGGGCTTCCACTCGCCGAGTGGTCTGGCCTGAAATGCACTCGTGCATATCCTAGAGACATGCGTGAGAATATCAACATAGAATTTCTCACGGATCTCACCACAAACAGAGCACCCGGGAGAAAGGGTAGGGAAGAAAGGAGAGCACAGATGGGCAACCCACCCGACTATGGTCGCGTTTGTTGTCGTACATGCAACAAATTTATGCGCCGCCAGCAAACTTGCAGCCATTTGTCGAAAGACAGACAGAGGCGCAGGGCTAGTATCAGCTTGGATTGCCACTTGCCAGTTGCCAGTTGCAAGTTGGCAGTTGGCAGTAGGCATGCTGATTTTGAACTTGTACGGTGCAATGTTTAAACACAACAACACACATAAATATATACATATAACATGCTTAAATTACACACAATACATAGGAATATATAGTTATATAGTTAAGTGCTGGGCCAGGTTGGGTTACCTCGTCAGTGTTGGTTGGTCTGTTTTGGTTGTGGAATATGTAACGAAAGAACTTTGCATGTTCATCCATGCCACCAAATGTAACCTAAGGCGTCGTCAGCACATTTTCAGGCTGTTGCACTCACTGCTGCACTAAGCCAACAATTTAAGTTTCTTTCTTTCCCTTTAGTTTTAACGATTGCAACACGCCCGAATTATGCTCATCTGATTATATAGTTAAAGTGCTTTTGGGTAAATATTTTGCACTTAAAACTAAGCAGCTGACAAATTGTTCATAATGTATATGTAGAAGTTATACTATAAATTTCATCCGATGGATAATTTTCGAATTTTAATTACTCACTTTAATCAACCATTAGCAACGATTTAAATGCAAATTTATCAATTTTAGTGCAGCTATCAACATTGATTTAATGACTATTTTAGGAAATCGAAGTCAGCTGTATAATTTAGTAGCCCAATAAAAAATAATATTTGCCAATTCGCTTATAATTTAACAAACAAATTAGACTTTCAGCAAGTTTATAATAAATTGAAATGAATCACACAGTTTCCAAATGCGAGAGACTAATGCAAGATTATTAGTCTTAAAGATAATCATTTTGTGATTAAGTTGTTGCCGCTCGAATTCGTAATTTTATGTGAATATTTATGATGGAAAATCAATTTATACAAGATGTGGACTACACAGATTAGGAGAAAACAACTTTGGCTAGTTTCACACTTTAAAAAATTCTTAGACTGTTGTTAAATTTTAATTACTAAAAATATATTAATAATCATTGCCATTTTCAAAACGTTAAATGTTAAATTTAACATTTTGCAAAAAAGTTTACATATTTGGTAATTTCAAAATAATGTGCAAAGTTCATAGCTAATTTCATGGTAATCATTTCAAACTTTTTACTACTCGGTTTGAAACGGTCTTACAAGATTATTAAATTGTTGACACTGAGCATAAAAATATTTAATGGCCAGCAAATGACTGCGTATTACCGGTAACTATTAGATGTGTACTCTAAACTTGTATTGTTGTTGTTGTTCACGCATACAAATCTTAGTCGTATTCGTATTGTGGTCGTATCAGAAAAACTTAAGCGAAGACAATGGAATGCGAATGCCCTAAAGGCAATCAAGAGATGAATGCAAATAAAACCACAACAGTACAAGTTAATCTACTGCGGAGACAAACGCTTCAGTCAAAAAACGTTTTGGGGCAGAACTGTGTTGCAAAGACAGCCAAGACACAGTGCAAATGACTCACATACACTGACAAACGGAAGCGGAAATATCTGAGCCAAGTCACGGCAGTTTGCGGTTTTAATAATCGTTTGGTGATCCCAAAAAGTACCCATTGCCCCTGGAGTAGGCTAGAAAATAAACAGTTTTATAGATGCTGTAATTGAGAGCTGTACGTGTAACTAGACGGTGTATGAGCAAATGACAGAAGCAAAAGAAGAGAACAGCACCTTTCCCAGACATAACAACTGCGAGACGAGATTTATAAAATATGCAAAGAGATTTTGAGGAAAATGCTGGCATACACTTTGCGGTTTTGTTAAAGGCAACACGCCCAGCTGCACAACCAAATCATGGGCTTAGTTTACAATTACGCACAGAAATATTGCAAAATTGTGAAAGCGAAACGAAGAGAAAAATTAATCAGCGTGGGAACATTATTTCAAGCATGAAAAAATTGAAACATGATTATTGACAACACACAAGCAATAAAATGTGTGTGAGTGAGAGACCATGATTACAATTATCATAAATCTTATTTAACAAATTTAACTTTGCAAACACTCCAATAAACACAGAGAGAAAGAGAGAGAGAGAGAGAGAGAGAGAAAGAGAGAGACTGCCACACTTGTAAATAAATTTCAAATTGAAACACAAATGCGACGTGTAAATAAAAACGCCAAAAAAAGACAACAATATAAATATGTGTGACAATGCAAGAGTCCAAATATGAGACCACTTAAAGTAGCTGGGGGTTCAGCCCCCAGCAAGCGACCCACTCGTAAATGGCAGACAGCCAGACAGAGGGACTGCGGGACAGACAGTCGAACCTACAGACAGATAACGTCGCGCCAACTTTACTCGAGTGTCAAGTTACCCCGAACCCCGACGTCGGTTGACAGCAACAGTAACACACACACCACACACACCACACACACACACACACACACCACACACACACAAAAGCAGAGAAAATCGAAACAAAATAAAAATTTACTTTGCAATTGTTGCAACAATTACGCGGCAACAATGCTATCTGAAAAAAGCCGCAAGTGACATAATTTTTAGAGGCTAAAGCGATATACACAGAGCGCCAGACACCCCAGAGAAATGAATACCCCCAACTGATGTGGCAAGTACTCGAATCCACTCATAGCAAATACTCGCATATATATTTTTTTCTCAATTAGGGAAGAATTGTGCAATTTAGTGAAAGAGACGACTTATAAAAGTTGAATGAGCAAAGTTAAACTTACCATTCACAGATTAACTCTATGATATTTGAGATGAAGTGTGATATGCGATATGAATCGACAAAAGAGTTGGCTGGGAATGTGACTGGAATGTGCCAGCAAGTAAAGTAGACAATAGACAGCAACATTGAATAAAATATTTAAAAACAAAAACACCAATTTCATTTTCATTTGGAAAATAAGGAAGTAGCTGTCAAAATACGTATATATACATATATATAATAATTTAATATTAATTTAGAAAATAAGGAAGTTGCTGTAGGTAATATAAACTAATAAAAACTGAAACCAGTAATTTTAAATTAAATGTAATAATAAAATTATATTTTGTAACTTTAGTTTTAAATTTGTATTCTTTAAGACCCTCAAAAATATGTTAACGACTTTTAAAGTGTTATTTAAAAGTAAAATAAGCATTTACTTGCAAGGAAATAAAATATGTCTTGAGGTAAAATGAGATATTGGTTTTAAAGATTGAGATTGGTTTTATTCACAAGAATAAATATACAAGTTCCATTTGCGTTTTTTTGTTTCGAAGCATAGATTTAGATTTACATATACATAATGACCCATTAAAAACACTTCCTAAATCAGCATG